CTTTGTGCCTATCTGGTGACGTCGACCCGCTGCGGATCATCACATCTAATTAAAAGATGATATCGTCCCGCCGCGGATTGTCACATCTCATCAAAGATGATATCGGCCCGTCGCGGATCGTGATCTCATCAAAGATATTCAAGTCTCGCCACGGCTCGTCACACTCTTCAAAGATGATATTGCCTCGCTGCGGATCGTCACACTTGTCAAAGGTGACGTCAGCTCACTGCGGATTTTCACATCACATCAAAAATGTTCAAGTCTCGTTGCGGCTCAGCATCAACTCATCAAAACGGCTTGACACAAAAACATGGCGGGCGACAAGTTCTCTACAAAATAAAAAAGAAGTAGAAGAATTTTATCTAATTATGAAGTTAAAGGTGAGCCATTCTCAAATAAGAGGAATTTTTTCTTAGTAAAAAAAATAACGGCGAGCCGTCATCGATCGAGTCGAAATCAATACATCAATACATCAATACGTTCAAAGCAATGAGCAATCGATGATATAGAGCAAGCCGATCGACATCATAAGCATTATGACGGGTCGACACCGTTAACATAACAGTTCGACATCCCTTATCATTATAGCGGACTGGCGTCATCATAATCTAACGACTCGGCATCTCCTTCCAACAGGTCGGCATAACTCTCTTCTACGGTTCAGACTCCTCATCCTCACAGCTCGGCATTACTTCTTTCTACGGATTAGCATCACATCGAGAAGACGAATTAGCATTACTCCACAAATGGATCAGCATCATGATAACGACAACGAGCAGCTCGGCAGCTCAACATCATGGCTCGGCTCTCCGTTAAATAGCAAATGGGTATCTTCAATGGTTATTAGACTTCAAGATTGTTGATTTTAACCCAATCGATCTCTTTACCTCGACTCTATTATTACTGAAACTGCCGAGCTGGGGGCTAACTGTTGGGGTCAAATTCCTCCCACCAGAATCAACAATCCTGAAAATGACTAAGTGTTGAGTTAAACGGCAGACAGTATATCAAGACAATGGTTTGACAATTAACCGGCGAGCCGATGTAATCGACCGTCTGCTTGGCCTTTATCAAAGTGAGTCGATATGGAACAGGTCCGGGAGCTAGCCGACTTATTGACCAACTGACTAAGGGCTCTCCGCGAAGAAAGGGAAGTTTCTAGAAAGCCCACCGTGGATAGATGGATATCCCAAAGGAAAAATGATATGTCCCATATTTTACTTATATTACTATCTATTTTACTATATTTTCTATGCATTTATCTACGGTTTTATGCCTTTAAAGGTAGTTTTTCTCGTATTTGTAGTTTTAGAGTCTTTTCAGGGAAATCAAGCAAAAAGGATCTAAAAGAGCCAAAATAGGTGTAAACCAAGCCACAACAACTTTCACAAGCCAAAGACGCCGTCAAGAACCAAGAATTCACAAGAAACAATATTCTACCAAATTGGACAGAACGTATATGCCAAAAGTTTAGCAGTGAATGAAACTTAGTGTGAAGATAGATATTTGAGTCAGATTTACAATGAAGTTTGAATCATCTCAATTGGAGCTGTGAGCAGGAAGATACACTAGAATTACTGAAGACATGTTAAGCTGGCCTCAGAAACGAAGCAAGTGCAGAATCGACCCAAATACCGGACCGCCTCGTGGACCGATATTCCAGGCCAATGTCAGCACAAATCAAGGTACTTTGGGGCCAATACTGGTCGTATTCTTTGGCCGACATTGCCAACCGACTTTGGGAGAGTTTTGACGTAAAAAGACGATTTGTCTTAAAGAAGACCCTAGAAGAACCTAGGCCTATATATACTTGTTTTTAGCCTTTTGTTAGGGATATGCCAAAATATTAAGAGTAGTTTAATCATAGGAGCAGCCACCACGAGTTCTCTTGGTGTTCTTCATTAGTTTTAGATTCTAGAGCAATTCGGTGGATGATCTCGCTTTGTACTTCGATA